GGAAGGGTGCGTGGACCCACAGGGACCAGATGTGCCCCACTCCCCTTCTAACCTGGGTGACCTGGGGAGGTTATTTAACCTCTCTGAGGCTCTGTTTTCTCATCTGAGAAACGGGAACAATCACTGCACCCATTTTGGGGTTTGTAGACTGAAGGTGGTAGTGCTTAAGAGTGTGCACAGCAGTGCTGGGGTGTGTGCGTGTGTGCGTATGAGTGTGAGTATGTGAGTGTGAGTATGAGTGTATGTGTCTATGTGAGTTTGAGTGTGTATGTCTATGTGAGTGTGTATGCGTATGTGAGTGTGTGCATTTGTACGAGTGTATGTGTCTATGTGAGTGTATGTGTGTCTGTACGTGAGTGTGAGTATGTGTGAGTGTGTGAGTGTATGTGTCTGTGTATGAGTGTATGTGTGTGCATATGACTGCGTCTATGTGAGTGTGTGTATGTATACGAGTGTGTCTATGTGAGTGTGTGTGTGTATGCGTATGAGCGTATGTCTATGTGAGTGTGTGTATGTGAGTGTATGTGTATGAGTGTGAGTATATGTCTATGTGAGTATGTGTATGTGTATGAGTGTATGTGTCTATGTGAGTGTGTGAGTGTGAGTGTGTCTATGGGAGTGTGTTCATTTGTAGGAGTGTGAGTATGTGTCTATGTGTGTGTGAGTGTACGAGTGTGAATGTATCTGTGTGAGTGTGTGCATTTGTACAAGTGTGAGTATGTGTCTGGGTGTATATGAGTGTGAATATGTGTCTATGTGAGTGTGTATGTGTACGAGTATGTGTCTATGTGAGTGTATGTGTGTCTATGTGAGTGTGTTTGTATGAGTGTATGTGTCTATGTGAGTGAGTGTGTGTGTATGTGTATGAGTGTATCTATGTGTGTGTGAGTGTACGTGTATGAGTGTGAGTATGTCTATGTGAGTGTGTGTATGTGTATGTCTGTGAGTGTATGAGTGTGAATATGTGTATGTGAGTGTGTTCATCTGTAGGAGTGTATCTGAGTGTATGAGTGTGAATATGTGTCTATGTGAGTGTGTGTATGAGTGTGAATGTGTCTATGTGAGAGCATGTGTATGAGTGTATGTGTATAAGTGTGTCTTTGTGAGTGTGTGTGTATGAGTGTGTGCATAAGTGCGAGTATGTGTCTATGTGAGTGTGTGTATATGTGTGTGAGCGTGAGTGTGTGCATGTATGTCTGTGACTGAGTGTGTACGTGTGTGAATGTATGTGTGTATGTGAGTGTGTATATATGTGTGTTTGAGTATGTGTGTGTATGTGTGTTTTAAAGACAAAACAAAAGCTTTTCACTCAGAACCCCAAGGAAGCTTATTAAGGATAACCTTGTGGGTAAAAGGAGGAAGGGAGGACCAAGCAGGGCATGAGGACTTCCAAGGGCAGGCAGTCCCCACTCCCCTTGCGATGGCTGGTCTCAGGCCACCTGTGCCAGCTCCAAGCAGCCCAGGGCTCCTACCTGCTACAAGGTGAGGGACTTCAGAGTCCGCTTCCATGTTCTCACGCTCGTGTTCCAGCTTCTGAGAGGATGAGAGACCGCATGTGACAAGTGCACTCGCTCCAGCTTAGTGTGAGCGGGAGCCAGGCTGCCC